AAAGGAGGAGGTGGGGCGGCGGAGGCCGGGAAGTAGGCGTCTCCGGCTTTTAACTTGCTGTCCTGGTGGTTATTGGTTGATTAGATGTGGGCGTTGCTGGTATGATGAGTCGAGGATGAGCAGGCTTGTAGGTCTGGGCAAGCAGCAGCCGGGTCTACCACAGTGAACTTTCGCGAAAGCTCCATAACAGTGCAAACAAATACAAATATGAAAAAAAAAACGTAGATAAGTAATTGTTCCTCATTTGGAATGAGGAACAAAATGCGACTATGTTTTTGTCGCATTGGCAAATTTAGTTCTGACAAAATGCACTTCAATAAAGATATAAAAAACATGATCTAAGCATTTACTGCCTTTTGTTTGTGATCTGAAACGTCAGTAATTGGAAGAGCTCCTTAAGGGCTAATCCAGAGCTCTACTTGGCCTTACTCTGATCTTAGCAGTGGTCAGCTGGAGATTCCTGCTTCCTACAGCCAAACCACAGATATGTCCTCACAAATAGCCACACACACACACACACACACACACACAAGTCATCCTCCTAAACAAGGCCCAGGGAGTGTATACAGACCTGGGTGTCCAACAAACATCGCACACACGCTCATGCACAAGCATTCATGACACACACACACACACACACACAGACACATGCATGCAGGAGCACAGGCATGCACGCATTCCTGTACACTCATCTCCTGTCGCTGGCCATGAGGAGCAAAGAAGTATTGCTCTTCATTCTGTGTTAATTGGTTTTGTGAACAAAATCAGAAGCAGGACAGAACAAAGAGCCATTCAGAGCCACAGGAGGAGCAGCTCTGAACAGCTCACACCACAACATACACCTGTAGCTCTTTCATACAGTTCTATTCAATTCAGTGTATTTTTGTAACTGTAGTCATCTCAGAGGACTTTACAAAACCATCGATTGGTCTCAACACAGATCAGAGACTCAACAGAACAAACACAGGAAATGCAATGATAAAAAACACAAAAGTGGCGGATGGAGCAATGTCTATAAATGTTGATAAAGTCCATGAAGGTTGTTGAATGCCTGGATCATCACCACAGTCTTTAGACTTTATAAAGGGCAGTAAGGTGACTTTATAAAGGGCAGTAAGGTGACTTTATAAAGGGCAGTAAGGTGACTTTATAAAGGGCAGTAAGGTGACTTTATAAAAGGGCAGTAAGGTGACTTTATAAAGGGCAGTAAGGTGACTTTAAAAGGGCAGTAAGGTGACTTTATAAAAGGGCAGTAAGGTGACTTTATAAAAGGGCAGTAAGGTGACTTTAGAAAGGGCAGTAAGGTGACTTTAGAAAGGGCAGTAAGGTGACTTTATAAAGGGCAGTAAGGTGACTTTATAAAGGGCAGTAAGGTGACTTTATAAAGGGCAGTAAGGTGACTTTATAAAGGGCTGTATGGTGACTTTATAAAGGGCAGTAAGGTGACTTTACAACGGGTGGGGGGACAGGTTATGAAGTGTTCATGAGTCCAACAGCAGAGGGGAAGAAACTGTTCTTATGGCGGGAGGTTCTGGTCCGAATGGACCGTAGACTTCTGCCTGGGCCGTACATGTCAAAGTCAGATTTCATTGCATCTAACGTTTGAATAGTTGTTTGTTTTATTTGAACCAAAGCTTTCGTCTGCGGCCACACGGGGACAAGCGACTCCCTGTTTGACCGCGGCACGATGACAGGGCTGTCCAGGACGTGCACGCTTCCCTCCTGTTAGTATACTGTGGCGTAACTTCTCACCTAGAGTAAACAGCGTCAGCCGCCAACACGTGTGCGCACTTGAGTAAACTGTGGCTGCGTTTAATGGAGCGGAAGTAAATACGGAGCGTGAAGATGTTTGTGCAGATGTGAGAGTGGGAACATCTGTGTGACCCTCTGTGACATCACCGGCATCAGCATCAGGTGAGAGGCAGAGGGTTACTGAAGTCATGGTCCTGACCCAAACCCAAGCTGCCTACAAGAGGTTGGCCTGCAAGATGTTTAAGATGGACAGAGAAGCAAAGCAAGGAATCAATGATGAGAGGAATACCAGACTGGAGACTAAGTAGAAGGAAGTGTTTCATGCATGGACAAAGCTTGGACTGCCTCTCTGGAAATCCACCCTCAGCATCATCATTGTACAGAGTTTTTATAGTATCTGTTTGTGTTTCTCACTTTCTCTTGCAGTTGAGGTATTCCTATGATGAAAATTATCTGAGGAGCAGGGACTGGCCTCCTGCTGGGACTCTGAGGAGCACAGGGTCTAGCCTCCTGCTGGGACTCTGAGGAGCACAGGGTCTAGCCTCCTGCGGGAGTCAGGACTAAACATGGGGAGGCTGCATTTCAGATTCATGCAGTTGAAATCTGGAACAATCTTCCTGAATATGTGAGACAGGCCTCTTCTACATTTTATATTTTTCCATTTCTTTTTAATGTACTGTGATTATTTATTCCTTATGTGACTGTTTCTATCTTATTTTGTTTAGCACTTTGAGGTTAAATTGCGCTATACAAATAAACTTGCCTTGCCTTATTGGTGGCGACTAATTACTTTTTCACCCCACTGTATCTGACCCTCCCCACACTGTTATGTTTTCAAGATCATTGACTGAAGTTGTGAGGTCTACACCAACTGCATAGTGTCATGAGCGTCAGACTAGGCTTAGGGTAAATTCAATAAAACAGTGTTTTTCAACAACTGTGCCGCGGCACTCTGGTGTGCCGTATGATATTGTCTGGTGTGCCGTGAGAAATTTGCCAACTTTGTCTAAAAATAATAATGACTTGAACTGTGGCGTAACCACGTAATACTCTTTCATGTCAGTAGGTAGCAGCAGAGAGCTAAGTACTTTGAAATTTAAGAATTGGATGCAACCACCAAATGTAACAAGTAGCGGTGGCGAGAAATGTAAGAATTGGATGCGACCAACCAATGTAAGACGCAGCGGGGAGAATTTTGGCGAGGGAGAAGTGGATGTGATGTTTTTGAAAAGGAATATGCGATTTCTGAACAGGATTCACATCCTCCGCTCTGACCCCGGGGCAGCTGTGGCCCGTTTTGTACCGCTTTGACAACAGCTCAGCAAACACACATCCATAACATGGTGCCGCACGCGGACCCTAGTTGCGGACAGAACCATGGAGTTGCGGACAGAACCATCTGCGCCGTCCTTGACTCGTGTTCAGGACCACCTCCTGTGTCTCCGAGTCTCTCCTGTGTCTTTTGCCTAAGCGCAAAACTCCTGAATTTAAAGCTCAGATATCTAAATTTTCCCCATGCATTAAAAATGCATGTTATTTGTGCAAAAGTAAAATGTTGTGAACAAATCAAACAGAACAAACAGCAAGGAATTTGTCTAATCATTATTTTTCACTTAAGAGCCCTCTGAGTCATTATTTCACTTTTTGGGCTGAGAGTGGATTTTTGTATGTTTTTTCCCCCACTTTATTCCCAAACTCTTGTTAACTCATTGTATTGAGAAATATTAAACCAAGCTTAATGTCAAGGCCTGGATTATTGTAAATATAGGCTACATAGTATATATTTTGGAAATTTTCTCCTGGTGGTGTGCCGCAAGATTTTTTCAATGAAAAAAGTGTGCCTTGGCTCAAAAAAGGTTGAAAAACACTGCAATAAAACACTGCACTTTAGGCTTAGGGCAATACTGCACTTTAGATTTACTGAAGTGCAAGATTGTGGGTTGCTCTGTTTTCACGTCCTGTTACTGTTTTATACGGTCCTTGAGGTTCCTGATGGTGCTCTTACCTGTGACTATTTTCATGTGTAATTTGTAATTTGTCCGAAGACAAATTTCTGGTGTTGGAAAGAATAAAGGTATATCTTATCTTTTCTCATCATATAGTAAAATGTCAACACTTTTCTGCTCCTTCAGACCATTGGAGACTCATTCTTGTCTGACTGCAGAATTCTCCTTATGGTGACATGTCTCTTTTGGTGAGTGATGAGTAAAACTGTGGTTCCTTTTGGAAGAGGAGACAGTTGTATTCAGGTGCCTTCTGCCTTGTGAACCCAGATTAACCAATGAGACTCCGGTTTACAGTGTCGTCCAGCCAGCTCCAGCTCCACCCATGTAGACATGTTTTTAATCTCCTGACTCTATGTGCATGAATGAATCAATACGGAAATGTCCTTAATTTAATGCTTAGAACAGACTGCAAGCTGTAAACAAGTTTTAGTTTTAGTTTCTGTTTTGTCGGCCCATGGAGAAGTCTAGTGAACTCAACTCTTACTAAAGGTTTGGACACCCCTGATATAAACCCTCAAAATACGTTTTTCATTTCCTTCTTGACTGAAAATGTGGGAACACTTGTCTGGGATCGATGGGTGAAGAAAAACTGTCACTTCAGACATAATTCAGTGCCGGCAGAGAAGCTTCAGAGGAGTGAGGGAGTACTTTCAAAATATCCATATTTCTCACTAATGCTTCAACCCACAGCTGCTTGTAGCCGAAATACAGGACCAAAGTATATATAAATTATTAATCAATCAAAAATAACAAGCAGATCTGAAGCCAACCTTTTACAATTTGGATATTTTAGACCCCACCAGGCACTATATGAAAACCACATTACCATGTCTAGAACACTATAAACCGCATCATAAAGTCTATTTAATAACTCTAAATCACCAATATATCTCCAATCCCATATCCAAAACACATTTCTCCCCCATTTTCACTTTCTTCTCGGTTAAAAACACATCACACGGACACATAAAGAAGCCGAATGCCTGCCATACTTGTTTGACGGCTGATAAGCGCATGAAAGTCAGCCTCCTCTCTATCAAACCTTCTCTCCGCATGTGCATTGAGTTACATCCGTCCTCTTTACGATCTGAGGAAATATAGATGCAAACTCGCCAGCGGACACTTGACAAATTGCTGCCGTACGGTGAGGCGAAGTAGTTTTTCAGGCAGCTCTTTGAAGTGCAGATTACATGTGATGGAGCGGCGTGGATCTGTGTAAGCCCCGTCACAAACGCTTCAGGAATGCCGAGGTACGGAGACCTGGCAGCGATCCAACCGGAGCGCTCACCGGACAGACTCAGAAGTGTCACGCCCAATGTGTATCGACCGATCCCAGTTATCGTCTCTGGGAAAGGTCAGAGCAAGGATTTGGCAGGTGCTGGATCCTGGTGTTTCTGGATACATTCTTGAATCGTTTGTGTAACCTTTTGAGAAGACACTTTTTATGTCAATATTAACAATTTAAATATTTAATCGCAACGAATCGTGTTAATGTCATATTTAACTCACGATTGATCATTAATTTATACTTGCTTCTTTAGAAAGATACTTTATTGATCCCCGTAGGAGAAATTCAGGTGTCCAGTAGCAGCAACATAAAATATATAATTGATCATTCTAAAAAGATAACAGTAGTAATTATCAGCAACAGCCCTTCAGGTCACAGCAGCAGAGGTGGAGTAGCCTCTGGGTGGAACAGGACGGGTCACAGCAGCAGAGGTGGAGTAGCCTCTGGGTGGAACAGGACGAGTCACAGCAGCAGAGGTGGAGTAGCCTCTGGGTGGAACAGGACGGGTCACAGCAGCAGAGATGGAGTAGCCTCTGGGTGGAACAGGACGGGTCACAGCAGCAGAGGTGGAGTAGCCTCTGGGTGGAGCAGGACGAGTCACAGCAGCAGAGGTGGAGTAGCCTCTGGGTGGAGCAGGACGAGTCACAGCAGCAGAGGTGGAGTAGCCTCTGGGTGGAACAGGACGGGTCACAGCAGCAGAGGTGGAGTAGCCTCTGGGTGGAACAGGACGGGTCACAGCAGCAGAGGTGGAGTAGCCTCTGGGTGGAACAGGACGGGTCACAGCAGCAGAGGTGGAGTAGCCTCTGGGTGGAACAGGACGGGTCACAGCAGCAGAGGTGGAGTAGCCGCTTGGTTTTCTCTGCTCTAGTCCAAAGTAAAAGGCAGGATATTAGCCTTCCTCCAGTGGATTTTTACCTGACATGCTTGGTTCGGACCATGAATCCTCTCTGCTCTGGTCTGGACAAATGCTAAAAACCATGAAGACTCTAGTGCAGCAACAAATCAGGCAGAAAAATATATATATATTTTTTTAAATAAAACACAAAACAACTGTTTCAGAGCTACTTAGAACTTGCAGCCGTTTTCCAGCGCATTCACAAGTGAACTTTATTATGCTAAAGATAAGATAAGATATTCTTTATTTATCTCACAAGGAGGAGAAATTTACTTTCTATAATGAAAGATTTCACTTCTTTTATTTAGTATCAAGTTGTTGTTCATTTGTCTTTTGACATTTTCCCACTGTGGGACGCACACTGCAAAAAGTGATGACAAATAAGTCAAAAATTGCTCAAATTTGGTAAAATGTATCTTAAGGTTTATTGGAGGATTTTCTACTCCCGTGTGTATCATCAAGACTATTGGTCCTCCCATGTGTCAATCATTCTGGTAATACGTACTCGTCAGATAAGTCCAGAGAGTTTTGTTCAAAAAGTGGAGAGGGCGGTTCTTTCCTAAAATTTGGAAACCTCCTATAAACCTTTAATTTTAGCACATTCTGACTGCCTTGGCACAAGATTTGGCAAAAGGAAAAAGAGCAAAATGATCTTGTTTTAAAAATATACAATAAATGTCTCCCCTGGAATCAGAAAATAAAGCAACAGTTCTTGAAATGAGTCCCATTGGAAAATGTCAGAATGTACTATAATTGAGATTTAAAAAAAAACACTTGATTCAAGCAATTATTACCTCATATTTTATTTATATTTTGCATTACATAAAGGATTTCTTCATTTTAATCTATTCTTCTTGTCTGATTGGAACTGTGACCTGGACATTTCTGTGATTTCCTCCAGTGCCTGCTGTACCTCACGTTCAAAGGCTCGTGCAGCGGCGTGTGTAGGAAACCGCGGGGCTGATTTCAGACACTCTTACCCGTGGTAGAAGCCTGGAGCACACATTTTTGCTGTGCAGTGAGTGCTTTCAGTCAAAACACACAGAAAACAAAGTCATGCTGATAATTTTTGAGACAAGACCTGCTCCACACGTCCAGAACAACTGTGTTAAACATTAGAACGAGGGCTGCAGGTTTGACAAGGATTCTAGACATTGTCCTCGACACTTCTCCAACGGCAGCAGTAGCGACAGCAGTAGCACACAGTCATCAATTCCACTGTCTATGGAATTGATCAATTACTATGTGAAGCCTCTTTGAGAGTCCAAAAAAGAGTTGAAAAAAAACCAATGCATTAATATTGTTATTATTATTATTATTTTAAAATGAAGGGTGAGCAGCTAAATCACAAGAGGAGGAGCTCTGAGCCGAGGAGCCAGCAGAGGTGGGGAGAGGAAGCATCGGTTTGGGATGCCTCCCTTGACAGTGGAGAAAACTTACCCAGGGAACATGTAGACTCTACACAGAAAGCCCTGCTCTGGCCTCTGTGCTGCCAGTTACTCACTATTGCAACGTTCTACTGCTGTGTTACAGTATTGTTCTGAAGTATGATTATTGCACTAACCCTGGTCTGACTGCAAGTGTCTCCCCCTCAGTCTGACCCCTGAGATCCATCTGTATGTGCTCTCGGGGGGAAATAATAAAAAGATCCAGTGCACTAGAATGTGGATATGTCACATTGTATCAGGTTTGAGATAGGAGCATTTGGACTGAAGGACCTCATTCCTTCTGTCCGGAGGTGTTTGTACCAGAAGTATTCATGTGGATGGAGCTAAAAACAGCTGCAAGTCTGTTTTGAGGAGCCGTGTTGGTCCCATTTTTATTTAATACTTAATAGTTACTGATCACTTCTCCCCATAAGAAACAGTGTTAGTAAATGTGTTAATGAGGGGCAAAAGTTACTCATTACAAGTCAAAGTAACGCATGTGGTTTTCATATGGACTCAAATACACATTGTTGCAATACGATCAATTCTGAACAAAAGACTGAGATTGAGACTGAAAAACTGAAAAAAAAACGCTCTATTAGTAACACCCTTAAACCCTGGTGGTATTTTTAAGTACGTTCCTTCAGTAGTGGATATTTGTAACTATTTTGATCCTTCATGCATGTTTGTCCAAATAGAGTCTTGAAACTTTACCCAGTTGTAAGACTAGCAGTGATCAGGACTTTAAAGGCCCGATCACTTGAATATTATGTCTTGCCTGTGTCTGAATCCCAACTTATGGAGGCCAGATTTTTTTAATTTTATGTGGGATCAATGTATTTCTGAAGCTTTAAAGCTAAATGACCAAAACATGGATGAATCACACCTGAACAACTGTAAATGTGTAAATGACAAGGAACAGACAGAGATCAGTGCATGTTGCATGTGATAAATTAATGGCTCACTTTGCATCTCTCACACAGATCTCTAATAGGTCCCACACAGGTCTCTAACAGGTCTCTAACAGGTCCCACACAGGTCTCTAACAGGTCCCACACAGGTCTCTGACAGGTCCCACACAGGTCTCTGACAGGTCTCACACAGGTCTCTGACAGATCTCTAACAGGTACCACACAGGTCTACAGGTCTCTGACAAGTCTCTAACAGGTCCCACATAGGTCTCTGACAGGTCCCAAACAGGTCTACAGGTCTCTGACAAGTCTCTAACAGGTCCCACATAGGTCTCTGACAGGTCCCACACAGGTCTCTGACAGGTCTCTAACAGGTACCACACAGGTCTCCGACAGGTCTCTAACAGGTACCACACAGGTCTCTAACAGGTCCCACACAGGTCTCTGACAGGTCCCACACAGGTCTCTAACAGGTCCCACACAGGTCTCTGACAGGTCTCTAACAGGTCCCACACAGGTCTCTGACAGGTCTCTAACAGGTCCCACACAGGTCTCTAACAGGTCCCACACAGGTCTCTGACAGGTCTCTAACAGGTCCCACACAGGTCTCTGACAGGTCTCTAACAGGTCCCACACAGGTCTCTAACAGGTACCACACAGGTCTCTGACAGGTCCCACACAGGTCTCTGAGAGGTCCCACACAGGTCTCTGACAGGTCTCACACCGGTCTCTGACACACGCTGTGTTGGAATATGAAGTGATGACTCCTCGACGATTATGAGCAAACACATGGCTAACAGCTGGAGCTTGTGCACAATCTAAACAAATGAATTCTCGTCACAATTATCCGCGTCATAGAACGTAATTACCGAAAGGCCCATAGGCTGCGCAATCATCCACTCCAACAATCATCTTACAACAATCAGCTAATTAGATCATCATAACAAGTCACATTCATTATACATTCAGATTCTCAGCGGACTTCAGTCACGAAATGCAGACAAGCGGCAGGATCCGGTCAGTAACTTTTATTATATATCGATCACACACACACACACACTGAGACACACCAACGCTCTTGTTCATACAGACATAACGACACAGGCCCAAAACACTCAGTTCCAACTCACATTTCTCAAGTTCTTGCTTTTAAATAGTTTTTAAATTGAATCAAATTGAAATATGTTTTCAATGTCTGGTCTAAATCATTCCAAATGTTCACAAAAAGCTTCCACTAGTAGCAGAACAAAACATTTTCCACATGCATCCCCAGAACTATCAACAGTCCTGACAAAATGAAAAAGAAGTTGACTGTGGAAGTGAACAAGAGGGATGTAACCAACGCAAGACACAAGAAGCTCTTAACCCAGGCATGTGCAAACTCAGGCCCGCGGGCCAATTGCGGCCCTCTATGGCATTTTATGTTGCTCTCTGCTACTAACACAAAGTTGCCATTGAGGCACCTTGACAGTGTCATCCAACAAACTTCAGCTCCACCAATACAGTCACGCTATATCTTGTAGTAAAGCTCAGACACTCTGGAATCCAGTTTATTGTCTCAACATTCCAAATAAAATGCAGATGTGGTGTGAACGAATAAGGACATAACATAAAATTCCAGAATCCAGTCAATCCGGGTCTTGGGGGTGGCAATCAGAGCGATGCCACCCAAGTCACAGAGCACCAGCCCCTCACTGATCCTCTGCAGGTGGTGAGTCCACAGGAGAATGGCTCATCTGTCTGTGAGTGCATAGCCTTGATCTTTCAGTGGGGGCTTCAGGCAAAGACATCAGTGGGAGTCGGTGGAGAAGGTCTCATGCTGGGCTCGAATCCACTACCTTCAGGCTCAAAGGCCAAGGCTCTACCAACTGAGCCACTTTACCAGCTTTAATTCAGTTTTTAAAATCTGGGTTTTGGTCCCAAGTCAAGTCTGATGAACTCTTGCAAAAAAGTTTGAACACCCCTGCCTAAGCCAAACAACCATAAAACGTAAAATAAATCTAGAAACAAGCAAACCTCAGTCGTCCATGTTGCTGAGCGCGTCATGCAAACACAGAAGAAACAGCAGAAGAGTTTAATTAGTGAATTCAAACACATTATGAGTTCACAATAAACAGAGAGCTGCAGTTTGGAGCAGACTCACACATGTGTTATTGAGAGCAGACTTTTGGAACGAGACCGACAGGCCACGAAACATGAAACAATGATTGGCACAAAGTACAACGTCTTATCTCAGAAAATCACAACCATAGTGTGAAGATCGGTAATACCCTTTTTTCCCACATTTGGAGCAAAAAAGTTTAGGGTTGGAGTCGGATCTAAGATAGATGCACTCAGAGTCCGAGTTGGTTCATATGGCACTACACAGGCCATGAGGGCAAACCTATACCTACATCAAACTGTATTTGCTAGGATATAAAAATTCTCTGGGCAGTTCTGTCCTCTACACTTCCTCTTAGACTTCAGAGACACTCCCAGTGTGCGTACATGTCTAGCAGCTGGGATTCCTGGTTTTCACCGAGATGGCTCGGGTTCAACTCCCGGTATGGGAACCAAATGTAACGCTGTACAGGGCTAGGCGGAGTTACTGCAAAATAAGTTGTAACTAATGACCAATCAGAGAACAGGTTCGGCTGGGGGACCATGAGGTGAATGAAAAGCAAAGCCAGATGTTTGAATGTAATTATTATGCATTCATTAGCAAGGCATTATTATTTAGGCAGGTATTCAATGATAATGTATAAATTAATGTGACGACAGAAGTCCTCCCGTTGTCAATGCCAGAAATGTGCTCCGGGACGCCATAATGGACGAACATGTTCTCCCAAAGATACTTGACGACAGTACAGGCTTTTTGCTTCGGAGTGGGCACTGCAACAACTCACTTTGCAGTCACTCCTTCTAGCCCTGTATAGCCTTACATTTGGCGAGCTAGCCAGGAGAATCAAATAAACTTGTTTTATGTTATTTTGATTTGAATACCTTACAAGCGTCAGAATGTCCAAAGCAGCTCTTAAACAGTTTTGTGCATTACAATCCTTATTCTTTCTACATCTTTAAATGTCAGTACCCAGACCTTCAGTACCGTGGTCTGGGTTTGACGCTTGAACCTGACCAGAGAAACGGCCAAACAAAGCAGACGCTGCATATCACCACCACAGAAAGGTTTTTGAGGAAGTTGCTCATCACAAGGTACACTGCAAAAGCCATGGGTGGAGAAAGAACCCTCCCTGCGACAGGTGCTATGGCTCTGACTGAGATCCACCGCCACCACTGGTCCCCCGAGCTCCTCTGCCCGGGCCTGGTTAGGGAGGTCAGGACTTATGAGAGAGAGGACCTCATCACAAGCTGTAGAACTTTTCTCCCTGCTGCTGTCAGCCGATGGTGACTGCTTAAGTACAGTAAGTAAGTAATGTTAATTTATACAGCGCATTTTTACAGACCAAGATCACCCAAAGTGCTTTACAATGTTCAGAAATCCGATTGTTCCATTCTCTCCACACGGTGATGACGGAAGCGAGACGGCGAACACACTGGTGCATCAAAGCCCCAACCAACACCATCCATTCACTCACTCATTACATTCAGACTTATTGTGCATGATTTTAGTGGTAGGGGAAACCGGAGCACCTGGAGGACACCTACGCAGATATGGGGAGAACATGCAAACTCCACTCAGAAAGGCCCTGTTCCAACTGGGTTTCCCATTTCTGATTATATGTAGATGCTTCTTGTCTGTTCTCTGTATCAGGTATGGTCAAAATGTACCCTAGCAGGATAAAAAAATCATTATAGTATGATATAATTAGGCTGATCTATTTGGCAAACATTTGGCTTTACACAACCACCAACAATAAGTGGAAAATGTGTTTGCATTATAAGTTGGCTGAAAATTATCCAAAATGTTGCTAGGAGGTGTAAACTTTTGAGAATTACTTCATAAGCAAATGAATTAGTTTCAGACATCAAATTTATATTAATTTCTACGAAAACCTAGAGCGTCGTCGAAAGTGTTTTAAAGCATTGCACGGACAAGCTTCATTTCCAACCGAACGAAGAGCTTTTTTCACTCTTTTCTTGAAAAATGAATCATTGTGGTGGTGGAAGTGGTACCATCATCCAAACACATTGCTGGAAACCAAACTTAGCCACAACATGAGGCCCATTAAGACACATGTGTAAAGCCTGACAACAGCAAACTATGAGAAGGCGCAACATTTTTCTATCATTAAAATTCTTACTAAAACAGTCAATTTCGGACCCTGTCATCTCAAAGTATGACATCAAAACCTTCTCCAACCCGAATGCAGTCTGTTCCATAAGCAGCAGCTGAAGTGTGTCTGCGTCTTACCTCCTGCTGCAGCGCTGATGTGGCCTGATGCTGATGCAATCTTTACTGCTGCGGGCTCCAGGGACTCTAGGCTCCAGGGTCCACCTCCATCATGTGTGTCCGGAGGAGAGCAGAGACCGTGTGGGAGATGCAAAGGCAGCCTGGAAGTCCGTTTGCACGAGTCCGACAAGATGCACTTCCTTCCTGCAGTGACGGAGCAGCTCTGTGGACCGGAGATAACAGACTCATTCACGCTGCATCATGGACTAGAGGGTGAGACTATAGTTTCATAGTTTCAATAATGCAACAAGGTCCTTTCTGAGCTTTTAACCTTGTTCAAACATTGCTCCTCATAAAAAATATACTGTATATTATTTGTGGACTGATCGAGTCCAAATGTCTCCCTGAGTGTTTGCTGATTGAGGGAGAAGCCTGTTTGAACTTAAGAGAGTTTCGCCACGTAACAGGGACAGCTGTGTTTCTCAGACAAACTGGAGCTTCCCCCATGAATGAAAGCATCTGATCTGGATTTACAAAGATACTATTAAAGTATAAACACTTGGATACAACAAAGTGTGTGTGACACAAACAGTCACTGAGAGGAGTTTACTTTTCAATCTAAGTCAATAGGGGCTAGAGCGAGAGGCAGAGGATCTGTGCTCTTCAGTGGCTTCTTTATGAAAAGTTGATCACCTCCAGGGAAACACTGAAGGTCTATGGAACCAAATCAGACACATACAGTGCCTTGCGAAAGTATTCGGCCCCCTTGAACCTTTCAACATTTGGCCACATTTCAGGCTTCAAACATAAAGATAAAAAATGTATTTTTTGTCATGAATCAACAACAAGTGGGACACAATCGTGAAGTGGAACAAAATGTATTGGATAATTTAAACTTTTTTAACAAATAAAAAACTGAAAAGTGGGGCGTGCAATATTATTATACTTTCAGTGCAGCAAACTCAGTCCAGAAGTTCAGTGAGGATCTTTGAATGATCCAATGTTGTCCTAAATGACTGATGATGATAAATAGAATGCACCTGTGTGTAATCAAGTCTCCGTATAAATGCACCTGCTCTTTGATAGTCTCAGGGTTCTGTTTAAAGCGCAGAGAGAACCATGAAGACAAAGGAACACACCAGGCAGGTCCGAGATACTGTTGTGGAGAAGTTTAAAGCCGGATTTGGATACAAAAAGATTTCCCAAGCTTTAAACATCTCAAGGAGCACTGTGCAAACAGTTATATTGAAATGGAAGGAGTATCAGACCACTGTAAATCTACCAAGACCCGGCCGTCTCTCCAAACTTTCATCTCAAACAAGGAGAAGACTGATCAGAGATGCAGCCAAGAGGCCCATGATCACTCTGGATGAACTGCAGATAACTACAGCTGAGGTGGGAGAGTTTGTCCATAGGACAACAATCAGTCGTGCACTGCACAAATCTGGCCTTTATGGAAGTGGCAAGAAGAAAGCCATTTCTCAAAGATATCCATAAAAAGTCTTGTTTAAAGTTTGCCACAAGCCACCTGGGAGACACACCAAACATGTGGAAGAAGGTGCGCTGGTCAGATGAAACCAAAATCGAACTTTTTGGCCACAATGCAAAATGATATGTTTGGTGTAAAAGCAACACAGCTCATCACCCTGAACACACCATCCCCACTGTCAAACATGGTGGTGGCAGCATCATGCTTTGGGCCTGCTTTTCTTCAGCAGGGACAGGGAAGATGGCTAAAATTGATGGGAAGATGGATGGAGCCAAATACAGGACCATTCTGGAAGAAAACCTGTTGGAGTCTGCAAAAGACCTGAGACCGGGACGGAGATTTATCTTCCAACAGGACAATGATCCAAAACATAAAGCCAAATCTACAATGGAATGGTTCACAAATAGACGTATCCAGGTGTTAGAATGGCCAAGTCAAAGTCCAGACCTGAATCCAATCGAGAATCTGTGGAAAGAGCTGAAGACTGCTGTTCACAAACGCTCTCCATCCAACCTCACTGAGCTCGAGCTGTTTTGCAAGGAAGAATGGGCAAGAATTCCAGTCTCTCGATGTGCAAAACTGATAGAGACATACCCCAAGCCACTTGCAGCTGTAATTGCAGCAAAAGGTGGCGTTACAAAGTATTAGCGCAAGGGGGCCGAATAATATTGCACGCCCCACTTTTCAGTTTTTTATTTGTTAAAAAAGTTTAAATTATCCAAAAAATTTTGTTCCACTTCACGATTGTGTCCCACTTGTTGTTGATTCTTGACAAAAAAATAATTTTATATATTTATGTTTGAAGCCTGAAATGTGGCAAAATGTTGAAAGGTTCAAGGGGGCCGAATACTTTCGCAAGGCACTGTAAATTATAAAGGCTTGGTTCCTGCATATAGGACCTAAAACATACGGATGACCATAAACTATCTACACCTCAACCCAGAAAAAACAGAAGAAATCTTACTTCTGCACGTCTGCATAACTCAAGTATCAAAACGCACAGACGCCGGCAGAGCCTTTAGCGACCAACCTCCACATCAGGGAAGCAGTCTCTCATTCAAGGCCAGGCTTAAAACAGTCCTCTTTAATTCAGCACATGGTTAGGTAAGAATCAGGTAAGACTTAAAAATACAATCTTAAGAAAATACAGATCATCAGTCAAGCTGGTCATGGAGACACTTTGCTGACAGTGAAGGTAAAGTATTGTAATCCAAGCACTAACCTCTCCTCTTCCAACTTCATCTTACGACTTCAACTGGAGTCTGTTCTTTGCTATTCACCCACTGTCCCCTTGTCTGTTTCATGGCATCCGCCCTCTTTCACCTGCACCTGTGGACGGTCTTGTGGCCTGGACTCGTGGGCAGCACTCCCCTTCCTGCCTCAAAGCCGCCTCAGTCCTGTACCGCGTGGCTTCAAGTCATGGATCCAAAGTGAGTCCGTCAGTGAGAGCGGATCCCTCTCAGATTCAGATTCATTTTATTTGCCATGTGCAGTATAAAAACCACATTGGAATACATTTACAAAAAAGTTACTTTGTGTGCACCGACAGAATAAAGAGAAATGTGGGTTTCTCTGACGTTTCTCTCACTGGGTTTTTGAAGTTGTTCCTTCGCCGATGCCAGGTCCAGATCCAGGACACTCCACATTCAACACCATTTATGGATTATTAACTTTTATGGACATTGGTCATCGGCCCCCCTCATGAACCAATGGATCTATGTGTTTTTTTTTATCATTGCAGTTGATTTGGGTTTGATTCTCTGATTAGTGTTGGTGAATCGACAGCTTTGTAAAGTCAGACAAAATAACTACTAATTGAAAATGAATTGAAATGAAAGTTCAAACTGCCAGTGTGTGATAATACTTCTAAAATAGTCTTTTTTATTGAACACTATTTATTATTGTGTGACCTGAATTATTACAATAATATTTCTATTTATTTGTTAATCTGACTTGTTGTTTGTTGGATAAAATGATTAAAAAAAATGCAGACATAAGGCCATGATCTGCTTGCAATTATCATCCATGACTCCAGCCTGGCATATGCCCACGATCTAAGTTCATAAGCCCTATTTACATAATTTAATACTGACATAATATCTAAAAAATGTGAGAGTGTGGGAAACTTTGTGTTATGTTGTTGACTGTTAAAATTCCAGACGACTATAATGCAAACTTTTAACAAAACCCGACATTATCTGCTCATCATGACAGACCTGGAGAAGGCAAAAGACCACAAGATACAGTCTTCATTAGAATTAGTTATTTTTTGACAGACAGAGACTCCTTCAAGTCACTATTTGACTCTTTGGGATGAGAACTAATTGGCCAAAAATACATTCATGGAAAACTGTTGTGTTTTTTGAGTCAGGAACGAGTGACATGGATTTTTTATTGTTAAATTTTTGTGGTTGAAAATGTTTTACCTAATCTTTTGATCAGATGAGAATCGAACCAGTAGAACAATAGTTAAAGAATAGGATAATATTGTACAACACAGATAAATGTTCAGTATGCATGTTTGTGAGACTGTGCAGAGATGCTGTTGCTAGTATATACAATAATTACATAAGATTAAAGTGAATCTAATGTGCTTTATCAAAGTGAGACTTCAGGAGTGGGACAGAAAGGGCCTGAGCGAACAGAGATAACGCTTCACATTTTTTTTGACATTATAAGGAACAATATTACAACTGGAGGTGAAAACAGGGATCATGGTGCAGACGATTATTGCATAAGATAAATGGGAAGAAAGAACTACGATAATATCATATTTAAAATCTCTTAAAAGTTGTTTTAATGTATTGCATCCATTTTGAACGTTGAAATTCATGACAATTACAGTTAAATACATTTCTAATCAAAGGACCCACAAGGCTTTGCGGAGATACTGCATGAACGCCAAACTGACCAAAATAAAGTATATTTTATAAGCCAATAAAGGCCAAGCATCAGCAGGATATGTCCTCTCTAAAACACTTTTACTGCTGACACTTGATCCCGCTGCTCAAGGCCACACAACATGACAAATACCAACATCTCAGCGTGAATTCACTGGAGTTCTTAAACATGGAACTCTCAAAGTGACGCAAAAGAGACTTAGAAGCAACACTTTCAATGGTTTATCAGACGTTTAACGCTGCGAGAGCTTGAAACAACAACATGACTATTTTCTCTTTTACTGTATATCTCAACGTTTTGCCTCCAGATTATTGTTGTGTTAGTTTTACCAAACGTGGTTCTTAACGAGCAGAAGTGAGTAAGTTACATCATGGAAGATTATTAAAAGATTATTATTCAGCCTAATTTCAAAATCCTGTCCGTGTTCATGTTTAAATTATGAGATATATTTTGATTGCAGCTGTGATATTACTGCAGGTATCTCACAGATTTGTTACTTTAAAAAAAATCTAATTATTGTAACTCATCAATTGTAACTGAGATACACCCGACACTGTTCAAGTGCCTTGTTACCGCACCATGTTAGATTTAGATCCAAATCTATCAGTGTTGCACATTCTAGTCTTTGAATTATTTCCTTTATTCAGTCACAAAGAGCACAGACATCCATCTCTCCTCAAGCGCTGGACTCGAAGAAGTGTTTCCATAACAACAACATGGTCACATGTCACAATGGCCTGAAAAGTGACATTTCCCCACAGTGGGACTAATAAAGGATCTCCTAATCTTAAAGTGACATTTTTCTGTCACTTCATACACATAAAAAAAACTACCACGGAAGCCACAGCTGCCCTGGGACACTCTCCAATCCAATCCAAGTTTCCAAAATGCTGCCCAGAGATAAAATCAACACATTTAAATATGCAAAAAGTAAAAACAATACAAATGTAATAAAAACAATAAAATACCAATTAACTAAAAACATGCGATAAAAATGATAAAATACTAGTTTTCTGATAAAAAAAAAAGTAAATAAATGAATGAATAGAAATAAAAACAATCAAACAAAATCAAACAAATAAAAACAGAATCAAGGCAACCAGTCTCTAACATCTGCCCCTCCGACCCCCACCAACCGCTCAAACACACACCAGGCTCATTCTAGTAAACGTGGGTGAAGTGTCTTGCCTGAGAACGCTGCAACAGTTTGGCACTTTACAGCCGCAGCCGCCCCACTGTGGCACCTGCTGTTCCCAGAGGTCTCCCATCCCAGTACTAACCAGGCTTCAGAGACCTAACGGGGTCTGGCTTTCCACCTGCAGCTCTGGCCACGCATTACTACGAGTCCAATCTCATCATCGCCTCATTCCACGTGTTGTACTTCCTCTCACCTTCCTGCGGCGGAGACGATGACATCACAAAAGAAGAAGAAGCGGCTCATACTTGGTCCATGACGTCTCTGCTCCGCGCTCAGAGATGATCCCGTGTCTCAGGATGTAGCGTTACGTCAGGGTTTGGACAGAGCCCGGCCGCCAGATTAGAAGCATGTGTTTTAGACCTGGCACCCACGACCAGCCCGGTATCACGTTACACATTTTTCATTCAACAAAGTTATGATGCTCCGTCCCGGGCCAAGCTGCGTGTGCGCGAGCCGAGAACATGAACTCATAAAGGGTTTCGAGCGAAGGGGCCAAAGAAAATGTGTTATTAAAGGTTTTATGAAAGTTATGCAGCTGCGGCAACAATTTAGAGTTCAAAAGTGGTATGTGGTGGTGGGAAAAAACAAAAGCAATTACTAACATACAGAACGTAGTGGTATAAAACACTGAAATATTCTACAGAAGATGGTGGTTCTAATCCCAGGTGTGTACAGTGTAGGATCTGTCACATCAAACAGAATAAGGACGTTCTTTTCTGCCTTTTTGACTAAATGTATCGTCTTAGCAACGGGGCGGATAAACGTAAGATTTTATCAGTGACTGGAAATTGAACCTGCAAATGTCTAATCTATGGTATGTCTGTTATACACAAAGCAGATAAGTGCAACAACGGTTTCATGAAACGAATAAATACAAATATATAAATACATTATAGTCCTCGCTTTGAATCATGGTTGGAACAGGTCCTTTCTGAGAGGAGTTTGAATGTTCTCCCCGTGTCTGCGTCGGTTTTCTCTGGGTGCCCTCTGTGATACTGCAAAACGCATGCGTGAAAGTGGTGGGAGGGCTTTGATGCTAACAAGTTACTACTTACTGCTTACTACATGTGTGTCCTCCATTTTCAGTCCTGGGTTACTCCTAGTTTAGTCCTGGTTTAGTCCTGACTTTTGCTTGTTTTCCTCATGACCACTTTGCTGCTCTCTGATTGGTTGCTGCACGTGCATTGACCAAAAAAGTTTAGCTATCTTCATCTCCTGTATTTGCCGTGTGCATTGGGTCGCAGTACCCACCGCCTCGGCCGTCTGCACATGCAAATATTGACCCCAACGTTCGCCACCACTGACTTTGCGTGTAAAATCACTGCAATGCTAGGTCCAGCGTTAACGCCGTTTTAGTGGCATTTAAAAATGGGTCAAATGCAGAGGACACATTTCGCTGCAGAGACAATAAAGTACTGATTCCTTGTTTATTGCGGGAGTTACATCATAAAAAAAAAACAAGTGCAATCCTCTCAGTAGGAGCTCTATGTTTTAAGGCTCTAAAACCTCTCTAAATTTACTAGATCTGAGCACTGCTATTACGTTTTTAATATTGTTTAACAATTTTTTTTTTCATAGCATTTGATATTTAGACTTATTTTTGTGTGTTAGAGGTTTGTAGGAGGATTTTCCCATTTGTTTGGAAAGAACCGCCCTCTCCACTTTTTGAACAAAACTCGGTGGTCAAAGCAGCAGTATTTTGAAATCCAAATATCTCTGAACTACTGTTTTGTGTAAAGAAGTAATCCAAAAAAGCATGATTTATTAATGACTTTTGACAGATTCAGGCCTTTTAATTATGACTTGACATGAAAATCTTACATATTGCTGTTGTCAAGCACGTGTCACCAGAATGATTGACAATTGGGAGAACCAATAGTTTTGATGATCTACCCGGAAGTAGAAAATCCTCCTAAATATTTAATCTCAAAAAGTGTAGTAGATAAAAAGTAGATAAAGCTGCCAATGACTTATTCTCTTTTGAATTAATGTAAAACAAATAATAATAGTTTTTTCACTGTTATTGAAGGTTTAGTGAAAAACCAATTTGACTTTTACAGATGCTGAAAGTCCATAGTAAGAAAGGTGACAGGCTAACAGGCTGCACACGCGCCCCCTGGTCCCGGGCGGCTCTCGGGGATGAGGTCAGTGCATACCTGGGTGAGTCATTCTGGAGCTGGGGTAACCGTACATGTTGTAATGTAGTGTACAGCGTGTCACCGCGTTGGCTAAAAATAACAGCGAGCTCAGACCCAAATAGTGCTTCTATTTTAGGCCTGTTTCTGTTGGCGCTCTCTTCCCGGGTCGGTGCGGCAGAGCAAGGAAGCAGGCAATGTTTTCTTTTTCATTCTTTCCTCAGATTTGGGTTTAGGAGGGAGGCTGCTGTTTGTAGTGCACACACCAGCTTCAGTTTGACATCCTCTGGCCGGACAGTGGAATGACGGACAGCTGATGGTGGTGAGTACAGTACGTGAACACACCCATCTGTCATCTGTGGACAGTTCAGATAGCGACACCTGCTCAGTGTTTACACGCGCCCAGTTAACAAAGTGAATAATGTGAAGGCAAGAGTTTGAAAAGAGATTGGATGATGCAAACAGTTTATATTGATCCAGTCCCCTTCAAAAAAAAGTCTTGCTTTTGTTATTGATTTTTACAGTGAACGGTTCAACACAGAAGAAATGACTTCAATTGTTTAATAAAGGCGACTCTTTTATTCATGTTTTGATTCAGTGAGATGGTTTTTTTGACGATCACGCGCAGTGGAAATAACTAAAGCTTCAATGTTTGGACCGTGACATAGAGACAGTTGTGATTCTGATGGACGTCCACTAATCAGAAGTGAGCGCGACTGCTTTTGTTTTCTTCAATTTCAGATCAGAATCCTGGGGCAAAACCAAATCCCGGTGATCCAAGATGGCGCCCTATTCAAATCAATGACCTGTGCTCAGTCAGTAGCGCATGGGACAGCCATGGGGGCCGAGAGATTGACTCTCGCTCTGCAAACATAACTGCACTTTTTAGGCTGGAAAATAGTTTAGTTGTAGTCTGAGGGATTATTGATGATTCTTACAACATATTTCTCGGTCAATCCACAGCTGTTGGAATATTCATCTGTTTGTTCAATTCATCCTATTTTTGCGGTGAATTCATCATTTTACTGCTTTGGGCTTGCTGCAACAAAAGCCCAAAGCATGATGGATCCCCAATAGAATTATGTAACCTATCTTCTCCAAATTCACAGTTTGTGATCTATTTAGACTTGCTATGGGGTTGTTTTATTTTTTTGAAAGATTCAAGATTCATTTGCCATTTGCAGTAAAACCACAATGGAAAAACTGTGCAAGTTACTATCCCAGTGAGCAGCAGATTTCCCATATCATTTACAAGTTTCACCTGTAAATCTAAATGTACAACTCCAGTGTCTCTGGATTAGCAAACCGCTGTACTGCCTTCCCCTGTTAATGTATAATGTTGACCTACTTTTATGAAAAATATAATGAAGCTTTAAGCGTAAGTTCAGGCTGAGAAGACCTCTCGCCTGTCACGTGGTGATTTGAATGAGGACCCAAAATGCAGGAATGCAAAAAATAATGATTTAATAAAATAAATGTCCAGGTGTAAACAAAACTCAAAATACTAAACCAGGAACACAAAACCAGGAACAGAAGTAGACAATACAATGGACCAGCAACAAGGAGAGGAGCACAGGGTAATTATAGACAGAGACACAGGTGAAACACATTAGGGCGGGGCAGACAATCAAGACAGGGGAAACAGGACGTCAAAGTCAAACTAAAACCAAAGCACAGAGAACAGATATCAAAATAAAGCTAAAGTCCAAAATAAAATGCACACCATGACAGTACCCCCCTCCAAGGGACAGCTCCCAGATGTCCCAAGAACAAAAGCGAGGCAGGGAGGGCGGAGGGGGTCTGGAGGACAGGCCAGGGGCAGTTCAGAGGCCAGAACATGCAGGGGCAGGAGCTGAAGCCCAGTGGTGACCTTCCACACGGAACTGGCTCACCCCAGACGGAACTCATGTCTGGTGGTGGCAACAGGCGAAGGGAAGGAGAGGTCATCAAAGGGTATCAGGCGGACACAGGTGGGGAAATCCAGGCAGACGGGAACAATCATGCCAGGGCTCCACTGGGTACCTCTCTCATGGGACAGGGGGAGGAAACAGGACCACCCCAGACGGAGATCAATGCCCGGCGGTGGTGCGTGGACAAAAAAACCCCACCCCAGACGGAATTCTTTCCTGGCGGTGGCTCGAGGTAGCAGGTAGAGGTAGGCAGTGAAGATGGCAGAGAAAAAAAACAAATAGAAACCTGGTGGCAAACTGGGAGCAGGTGTGGGTGGAAAAAAATAAAGCATTCCGCTGAGTCCAAATGTGGCGGGTCCATTCTGTCACGGGGTGGGAAGGAGGAGGACTCAAAATGAAAAATTCAGGAATGCAAAAAATAATGATTTAATAAAATAAATGTCCAGGTGTAAACAAAACTCAAAATACTAAACCAGGAACACAAAACCAGGAACAGAAGTAGACAATACAATGGACCAGCAACAAGGAGAGGAGCACAGGGTAATTATAGACAGACACAGGTGAAACACATTAGGGCGGGGCAGACAATCAAGACAGGGGAAACAGGACGTCAAAGTCAAACTAAAACCAAAGCACAGAGAACAGATATCAAAATAAAGCTAAAGTCCAAAATAAAATCCACACCATGACATTGCCGCTCATACAGGGCCAGCCTCGCCAGCCCATCACACAGCTCTGCCAGCCTCTCGAGCCTCAGCCAATCACACAGCCCGGCCAGCCCCCCTGCCAATCTACTGACTGCAAAGCTTAAAAGCAGCCACTTCCTACAAACCAGCGCTTTGAAGCTCTTGTAACCCACTGCCTCCCCAGTACCTCCTCTGGCTCCTGCTCCTGCCCTGGCACCTGCCCTGGCTCCTGCTCACGTCTATAGCCACCACCAGTGCTTGACCCTGGGGGATCTGAGATCATTCTAAGCAACAGTGATCTCTCTTCTGCAAGTGTCCCTGCCGGGGTCAATGCGCCAAACAATAAATCCTTTTAAATGCATTAACGTGTTTGTCTTGGTTTCTTCAGATTGAAATACTTTTATAATGTTAGTTAAGAAACAAAGCTACTACTTATTTGTATTTGTGTGTGCTCCCTGTGTGCTCTTACTACTGTCCTGTACAACACCGACATTTCGACAATAAAGGAATTCTTAACTTATCTTATCAAAAGTATAGTATTTTTCTTTTTAATTTATTTATTCTTATTTTTATCATTGTTTGTCTCATTATGCATTTATCACTGCACCATTTCTTTATATAACTGCAATTCCTCCCTTGTCTTATCTACCTATGTTTAAAACTTAAGAAACTTAAAACTTACCATTATTTATTCAGTATTATGCTTATTATCTGTCTTTTTTTATTTATTGTATATTATATTCTACATATTAATAATAATGTTGCACAATGCACTGTTCTGCACACACACGCACGTTATGTTGTACCTCTTAAAATATGTATCTCTCCACAAATGTTTGTTGTAATTGTATGTGTTTTCTTTTTCACAAATATAAAATTAAGTTTAAAAAATAGGGTGTTGAATAATGTATTGTCATAATGTACATAAATACATGTCAACCGAGACAACAAAAAAATCTTGGACCTGACAACACTGGCCATGAGTCAGGTCCGTCTGAAGTACGGCCTTCACCAAATGTACCTTTTTTAAAAAAATAAAAAATTGTGTTGCATCATTGAATCACTGAGCTTCCTCGTAATATCTCATTACCCTTTTACGACACATTTTCACCACTATAGCTTTAGACTAATGCATTCTCCGCAGTTTCCTCCAATAAAAAGTGCTACGTACCTTGGCTGCTTCACTCTCGGTCTGTGGTCCTGTCGCTCAGGCTCAGGTCGTGTTGTGGGAGAAGTCTTGGGTCTACTTCTCCAGACTCTGCACCGAGGCACTGGGCTCGCGTCACTTTGGAGCTATTACAAACATTTGGATAGCAGCAGACGTGTTTTTATAGGGACTGGAATAATCTGCATCCACTTTCCAGCTAAAGAGCGGAGACTGGTGTTGACGCCATGATGTAAGACTGTGGAAGTGTGTTGGAAGTAAACAAAGCAAAGAGAGATAAAGGTGTGTCCATGTCAGTGTGTGTAGAATGGAAGAGGAAGATATAGCATATGTACAGCGTAAAGTGAAGGTGTGTTTTGTATTGAAAGTGCATGTGAACAAAAAATACAAGACATAAATAATAAGCCAATAAAACTATTAGATCTCACCCACTGCAAAAAGTAATGAAAATAAGTGAAAAATGGCTTAAATTTGGCAAAATGTATCTTAAATTGAGCACAATTTGACTGCCTCAAAACAAGATCAGTAAAAAGTAAAGCGAAATTATCTTGTCTAAAAATATACATGAAAAGTTATTGAAATATGACTAAATGTGTGGTTTTAAGTCGGTCAGAATAAACTCAAATTAAGACAAAAAACACTTGATTCAAGCATTAATTATCTGACATTTTATCATGTTTTTCTACCAGACTTTGCTGGAGGCTTCACGCTCCTTTTTTTCCATGTTATTTTCAATGTACACATCCAAGACCCTTTCCTTGTCATCAATCTCATGCACACTCCTGGATCTACAGCCTCAGTCCTCGTTCTACAGCCTGAGTCCTGGATATATTGCCAGTCCTTCGGTGGGAGCAGATATCTGACCGAGGTTTCTCACTTTTCTTTCTTTTTTTAGAGTTTTTAGAATTCTTCGTTTGGGCGGAGGGTCTAAGGGCGGAGATGATGATTCAGGACCCAAGACATGGTCATCTGCTCCATATGGACCAACTGTTTGAATCTCTGATCTGTGTTGGCAGCTTTGTAAAATCCTTCAAGATATCTACTGTTGTGATTTTGTTCTATACAAAAATAAATTGGATTGAATTCAACTGGACACTCATTGACGCAAGCCTCTCATGGCCGAAAGTGGAACACTCATTTCCTTTGTCATGAAAGTCAGCCAGGCCCTTTCATTTTGAGTGCGTCCAATTGAAAGTGAAGCACGTATTCAGAAGGGGTGGGGTTCCAGGTGTGTTTGAGACGAGGAACAATGTCGGAACAACAAAACAATTTGTCAAGATATCGGTTCGTTCATCGATGTAATTGTCTATAATCACTTCTTTCGCACATCTTCACCTTGGAAGCCTGTGGAACTCAAACTCAACCTTTCAAATTCTAATTGAGCTGTATAAACATAAGCGGAAATGAGGCGGGTGCGATGCCTTCACTGTCTCCTGACTGCTCCGTTTATTTGACACATGAATTGGATTATTTTCTTTCCACAGTCCAATAATCCTCCTCGGTCTGTGTGTGTGTTTAGGCCCATCCACTCGCCATACAAGACAAAAGCAGCTCACATTCAGCCACTCCAGACATCTCCCGGGTAAATGAAGGTGTCAGGTGAGATTGATGTCTGGAAATCATAAACCGTGTCATCATATTTAAGACGGAATCATCACTGCAAAGTCACACCCTGATTATTTAGTCTATGGCTGCCGTAACCGTGCCAACTGATAGCAGAGGTGAGTGGCAATGAAGAAGAAATATCTTTAGACACTTTAGTTTAAAAAATCAGATTCACAATTTAATAGATCAGACAATTGCACAAGTTTATCTAGTCACTCAATGACAACTTCTGCTGTTTAACTGTTTTAATCACACAATGCATCAGTGTCTTCCCATTGTTTAATAATAATAATAATGCATCAGTTTTATACAGTGCATTTTGGACACTCAAAGACGCTTCACATGTCGTTAATCTTTCACTCCATACACGGTGGTGATAAAATTCTACTGTAGCCACAGCTGCCCTGGGGCACACTGACAGAAGTGAGGCAACCAGTCTGTGCCATCAACTGGTTGCCTCGACCACCACCAACCATTCACACACACAGCAGACTCCTTCTTGGCAATGTGGGTGAAGCGTCTTGCCCATGGACACAATCACAGTTCTGCACTTTACAGCCGCAGCCACCCCACTCTTCCATGGTTTCCCATCACAGTCCTAACCAGGTCGGGGTCTGCTTAGCTTTAGAGGTCGGACGGGATCTAGATTTCACAAGCAGGTATGAGTGTGAACATTTCAACATTTGTTGTTGCCCACATGTTCTTTCCAGAGTTGTACCTTGTAAAAATTGATTATTTAATATGTAGTTGTATTTACAGGTTTTCATTTTAGCCTTGCATGTGTGTGTTCAGTTCATTCAGATGAAACATGTGCCAGCCGTGTACACCACTCATCAATTGCAGGCAGTTTTGCGCAGTCAGACCTCGAATTTGTCAGAAACACTTGAAGCTCCTCGACATCCAACGGACCTATGTATGAAAGAGGAAGGCTTTATGCTCCGCTCCCATTCCCTCACACAAATATACAAATATGCAGATTTTCATGGGTTGTGACTTTACAAAGTTTACCAGACGCTCAACATCATCCAGTCTTGGCCACGAACACATCTGGGTTTCTCTCATTCAGTCCATGAAGGTGCAGATGTCAGGGGCACACAATTTTATGTTTTTTGAGCTGCATCTAGCTCGCTTTTAGAGATTTGTTTAATGTTTTTGAGTGTGGTTTTATTGTTGCATATGATCCTAACGCTGACGGGTACGGGACAGAACACGAACGGAGACTACAGGTCGTTGGGGAAGGGTACAGAAGACATTTGAGGACCTGTGACACAGACACTCGTGCAGTTTTCTCACTCAAGTCCTCATCGTTCAAGACGTTCTGATGTCACTCGAAATATTTCCTCTCCTGTAGCTTTGTTTTGGCAAAGTCTTACAAAATGTTTTTTTTCATGATTGCGTTGCCATCCACACACGCACAAGATCTGATACAGATCTTTTCCAAAACCACACTTTCGATCTCTGCAGACATGTCATAAATACGTTGGGAAATCGTGTTTTTCGAAGGAGAGACTTTGGCTATTTCTCTAGCTGCTTCAGGTCCGAGCAGCACATTTACAAACACTCGTGCCTTTCTTTTGAGTGTCCAAAATGCACTATGTAATTTTGATATTATTATTATTATTATTAGTATTATTAAATACAAGTTCAGCTACGCAGTGCAGCTTTAAGTCCTTTTTTGTTTATTCTCATGAGTTGCCCGTTTCTCCATTTGCTCTTTGTTATTCACATTCTTGTTATGAAGCGGAGCATGTTTTAGTTTAAGCTAACTTGGGACTCTAGTGATGTCGGATAGCTTTTCACTAAACCGCGAACACAATGGAGTCAGTTTCCTTGCATCTCCAGAGAAAGTAAATGGTGAAAGTAAGTGAAAGATTGATTTGGTTTTGTGATTGGTGCAATATTCTCCCTTGGACCTTTGCTCATACTTGGGCCTTCACCTGAGTCAAGATTTTGTCCTGGGTCTAGTTCAGAAATTGGCATCTTTCCTTTTCTTCTCCATCACTGTCATGTCCCCGCCACCTGTCACTATCGATGCATCCATGCGTCACTCATTCTGATTTCTCAAACCAACGAATCTTCTGCCACCTACTGGTATTCAAAAGTATGACATGGTAACACACTCACCAATAGCACATTAGCTGGTAGTTTAAAAATCACTGCTTTAGAAGACTATTATTGAAATTACAAGATTGTTTATATGTTTAAAAAAGATTGTGGACTAAAAAACAACACGCCTCCGTTTCTCTCTGTTGTCTGGGTCAATGCAGCATTTCAACACGGGTCAACGTCTGCAGTGTACACAGGCCTTTTGTTTTTTTATAAACTCAATACCCAAGAAGTTCTCATTTCTATTGCTTCCATTGCGGCTGTTTCTTAAAAGCACTGTTCTTTGAGTCTGATGGTAAGTTCTCCTGCTGCTTGTCCATGCCAGCTGGCTCATGCACCAGTGCAGGAGATACCAGGTGCATGAGGAGCTGTACTGATGACAGGATCAGACCCTGGGGCGGTTCACGTCTGGGTCTGCAGCTGAGGCCGAGCCAGAACACAGATCGAGGAGTGCGGAGTGTGGAGAGGGCAGAGCTGTGTCTAATAAGGCCCATGATGTCATGACTGATGCAGAGGCTGACATGTATCCTGACATTACCCGGAGCTGCTGTGTGATTGTAATCCACTCAGCTCTAATGTGGACCATGCACCAGGACGGCGGCGGCGGAGGGCCCCGGTCCTCCTGGGCTCGTGATGGGGGCGTGAGGACGACATTCAGGGAGAAACCTGTCATAGCTCAATGTCACCACGTAGTTCAGAATGCATAACCACACAGGTCAACTCGTTACACTGTAGAAAATAAGCAAAGTCACCAAGACGATCTCACGAGGAGCTCACAGGAGTCGATGGAAACAACATTTGTGAGTGATGGAAATGAGTTGTTGCGTCTACGTTTGACAAAAGTATGTTTGCATTAATGACTTTTTTTTTCCGGCTCCTTTTCTTCTCACCTGTTCTCATCTGTTTGGCTCTCGGGTCTTTGTGCTGCTGTTGACGGGGACCAGAGGGGAGACGCTGGGCCGACCGAGACATTCCTCCCTCTCCTCCTCTGAAGGTGAGTCTTGGTTCAAGTGATAAAAGAAAAAGACAAAAATTAAGACTGTTCTGTAATTCACATTTCTAGATATCTTCAGGTCAGTAAAATGGAAAGCGGGTATCTGTATTAGGCTCAAAGGTATTAGTAGTTTTTCAACAGATTCATTATTTTCTTTTTAAATAATGTATTGAACAGAGGGATTTTTTTTCGATTAGAGAGCTTCTTTTACGTACAAGAAATGGCTACTCAAAGAACCACTCCTTTCTGCAGTTTTAATAAAATTGTGGTCTATGTAATAAATGCAAAAAATCGGGAACAACCATCACACAGTTAAATGCATCATATAACTGTATATCCTTAAATCAGTGAACAAAATGAAAACATAGTTAGAATAAATAGGCAATGACTCTAAATGTATTCACGATCATGCGTCCAATCACTGAATCGTCTAACGGGATGGTGAGCTACTGATAGCTAGCAAGCCACAGGTTGGAGACCACTGGTTTACAGATTATGGATCTAAAAAAATAAAATAAAATTCCACGATGATTTCAGCAAAGCCCTGTTCCACTTCTGTCTGCTTCTCATTAGGAGCTGCTCCAGGGACAGCTCAGTTCTTCTGCTGCTTCTGGAAACAGGACTCCTCACTTTAGAGGCCGAGTCATTTTAATCTCATGTGGACATGCGCAAACACACACACAACCATACACACATGCAGAATAGTGCACGGACACACAATACCACACACAATGGTACACACGCACACATGCACAACCATGCTTGTACAGAAATAGCAGTACAGACACAGACACACACACACACACGCTCAAGCCTGCACGCACAAACAATAGTACACAGACACAAAGAATCGCACACAAGCACAGCCACGTGCACACATGGGGCGACAGTGGCTCAGTTGGTCGAGCTTTGGCCTTTGGGCCTGAAGGTCGTGGGTTCGAGCCCAACATCACGACTCCCACTGTCGTCTGCTGTAGTTGTGTCCTTGGGCAAGTTACATATTCCCACTTTGCCTGACGCCCCCGCTAAGAGGTCTGTGCATTGGGTGCAGCTCTGACTGCCACCCCCCGACTTCAAATATCTAAAGAAAAGGCCTTCACACTGCCATGACCTCAGGCGACATACAGTAAGCCAAATACTTTCTGGTTGTGGTTGAATTCTTAACAACAATTGTCTCTTTCAATGGTTCCAAATCACCTGTTTGAAGATATCACTAAACATTTACTCAAAGTTCCATTCCCTGAAGAAAACAACAACGGCACAGGTCATAAGTATCGCTTCATGTGTGGGATCATCAACTATAAGCACGGCCTTGACCCGTGAGCACTCATATACTCCAAGACATGACAAAGAAAAAAAACATTTGGAGGTTTGTTAGTAACGGGAAACAGGGGAGAGAACAAGAGAATGAATGTAAAAGTAGCATAATAACAATGTAACATTTTATTATGATTTTTTTTAACAAGAGCACAATCAATTTTCTTTCTCCTACTTTACCTCTCAATATTGCTCACTTATAGTCTTTTTATGACTATTTAGAAGTTCACAGATACAGAGGAGTCTTGCAACTTGTCGTGCAACAAAAACAAAGAGCTTGTGAGTGATTTTCAGAGTGTGAGGTGTGGGAGGAGAGTGCACAATGAGAAGCACATGGACAAACACTGGGACCCTCTCTGTGCCGCAACCTGCCGACCACAAAGACTTAATCTACTCAAAAAAATCATTTTGTCTTTTTAGTTAATAAAATCATGGATGAGGATTTTCTGGTCATGGACCCCTGGTGGCCGGAGCGTAATTCTGCATAATAAGTTATTATGAACCTGGAATAATCAAAGCCAATATAGCTGTGACAATGAGATGTATATATTGAGTCAGAGAAATGCAATGAGAAATTAAAGCTGCAAGTGGCGTCGAATGGCCCTCGCTGCACCACGCAAAGGATGTGGTGCTGACACACCATCTTCCTACAGTGGATTTTGGATGTCTAGGATGAGTGATGGTGTGTCTTTATTGAGTAGCATGGGAACTATCTTTCTGCCCATATAAAAAGAGAGGAGAGAGAGCCCTGATCACATAACCCTATGTGCTGCAGAAAAATACTACATATTCTCAGATGTTCGAAAATCACATAACTGAACAATTGGTTTTATATTATCTTTATTTTATCTTTTTGTATGTGTTGTGTGAACTGAGTCGTTGAGGCCCCTGCCTTTGACAGCCGTCAAAGGCAGGGCCCTCTCGGCACCTTCCCACCACGGATCCCTCTGTGGGTGGTTGGTCAACAGAAGGGCCTGCCCACGTCGTCCTTTTGGG